ACGCTTTTAGGAAAGCAAAAGATTATGGACCACTCGATACGCGAACAGCACAACTTTAATCAGTGGGAAAAGTTTTCATTTTGTGTCTAGGGCAGATTCATGTCGCTACAGCCCGTAAAACTCAAAGTCATTGAGTCATTGATTCCTTACATCAAAAGAGAATACCGAGGATTTCAGGACAAAATCCCGAAAAGTACGTGTCGAAGCAAGCCAGACTTAAGCTGGTTTGGATTTTTCAGTTCAAATACGTAACTTCGAGAGGAGGCTGCTTAAAAGTCTGATTCGTCTTTTGGGTGGTAAACAATTTCGGGATTTAAATAGGTAATTTTAGAGTCCCTTTATACTGAGAGTCAAGACAATTTGAATCCGTTTCTGATTGGTTCCCGTATTTTAGGCCTCCACAGTGTCACAAACGGGAATAAAGATTACATTTTCACCAATTGCAAAGATTATAATCTGGAATGGACCAGGGAATTACGGGTTCGGCAAGGAACAAACGGAATGAGAGGAGGAACGGAGAAAGGCATTTGAGAATGGGCCGATCAAAGATTACGAAAAACGTTCAATTTCTGTAATCTTTATTCCCGTTTGTGACATCCATGAGCCGACTTGTCTTGACTCTCAGCATAAAGGGACTCTAGGTAATTTTACGTCCTATTTTGGCATTATATTTAAATGGCGGGGATTTCAAATTTAGCGGAAAATTGAACGAAGCGGAACATTTTAAATCTTGGTCTGTTCGGAGGATAATGTTACTGAATCGAAGGAGTGTTCCTTTGCTGCAGACTATATCCAAGAGCGACGAAACGCTCCGTTCTGTTTCTACCGATTCGTTTCAGTCTTGGCGAGAAGTTTGGGGGTAAATACCGATTTTTTTTATTCGATTTTTATTGGTCCAATCGCTTCCGGCCAGAGGGAGATTGGACCAATGAGATCCGGGTATGAAAACCTTTTCATTTTTTTGGGGGGGCGTTCTTTTGCTAAAGCGGGTCTAAGAAAATGCCAATCGCCCACTGGCGGTTGGGCCGCGTAGCGGCCAGGGGGCTGGCTCCATAGTATGGAAATACTGAAACGGACTTATCTTGGATAAATTCTTTCGAGACTTTGATTGCGTTTTCCCAATCATCGGTATTTTTAGTTCTGCGCCTTGAAAATAATGTTTTAAAAGTCAGGAGCTCTTTTGTGTTCTTCATGCCGCCATAAGATGCAGAATGAAGCTATGGCATCAACACAACGTTAATGGGCCTGTTGCGAGGTGCGGGGATTTGCAAATTGATGCCTGATTCTTGTGGCAATATTTCACGAAAAGAACGATGGCGCTACTAAAAAAAATTGAAATGACCTCTCAAACTCAAAATAAGCTGTTTCTGGAACCGACCCATTCGAAAATGTCACTTTCACTCGGTAACGGATCCGCCATACTTGTGACGTCGAATGGTTCGACAGACCTGGTCTTTTCATCACTTACAATGTATTTTCCCATAAGGAATTGGCAGCCACTTTTCAAATGCAAATGTCGAGTCAATCTATAATTTTTTGAACAAAATGAAATTCAGAAATGGATTCCTCGTACGTTTAAATGGTTAGAACCATCATTAGATAAATAAGAACCGACGGGATAAACCCTATTTTTCAGGAAGACTGTAGTCAATGGGCGATTGTTTACATCTGCTTAGTGATAACAGATATGGACATTAGCTCAATATTTAGCCATTTTCATGAGTTTTTACTTTTTACTTTTTTTGTCACTATTTGGAGGTAAATTTCTTTTGTAAATCAATTGTTTAGTGCTTTAGGATCATGTTAAAAGCTGTGACGGTGCACATTGTTACTTATTAATTCAGAAGACACTCCGGCAGTCCAACGCTCAAACCATGATGTTCTCTCAATGCGTGTAAATCATTCTTAACTCTTCAACAAACATCTCAATATCATTCAAAACGTTCCCACGTTTTATAAACTTATGTTATTTTAGAATCCTGTGTGTTTTAAATGTAACACTATACAGAAAAATTTATCGATAAAGTCTGTTAACCAAAGAAGGATCCTACGTCTACTTTCCTTGCCTCCAGCTAAAACATACCGGTCTCCTCATCTCATCAGTATTGTCAAAGGTAAGTTTTTTTCATCATCAATGATTGATACTATCATTTTGGTGTCTTCAGTGAAGCATTAAAGGGTGAAATATTAAGAAATAACAACTGACTCGCTACATACAGGTTTGAGCGTTGGACTGCCGGAGTGTGTTCTGAATTAATAAGTAACAATGTGTACCGTTACAGCTTTTAACATGATCCTAAGGCACTAAACAGTTGATTTATAAAAGAAACTTACCTCCAATACTGACAAAAAAGTAAAAAGTAAAAACTCATGAAAATGGCTAAATATTGAGCTAATGTTTATGTCTGTTATCACTAAGCAGATGTAAACAATCGCCCATTGACTACAGTCTTCCTGAAAAATAGGGTTTATCTCGTCGGTTCTTATTTATCTAATGAGGGTTCTAGCTATATAAACGTACGGTGACTCCATTTCTGAATTCCATTTTGTTCAAAAAATCATAGATTGACACGCTATTTGCATTTGAAAAGCGGCTGTCAATTCCTTATGGGAAAATACATTGTAAGTGATGAAAAGACCAGGTCTGTCGAACCATTTGACGTCACAAGTATGGCGGATCCGTTACCACGTTAAAGTGACCATTTTGAAAATCCGAATTTTGAGGCGTTTTTAAGTTGATTTTTTGACGGTTTCCGGTGATCAAAAAACTCCGGGAAAATTCCTGTGGCATCAGGAGCCTTAGTTCTTTCGATTAAAGCAATAAAAAAAATTGGTGCAACAGGCCCATTACACATATCACACTTAATTTCTATGCCGCTCGATTCCATCATTATCTTGGGACCAAATTCTTTCTTTTAGTCACATTATTTAACAAATTAGGATGTAAAAAAAAACTTAGTTTCAACTAGTGCGGAGAAAAGAAAAGTATTGGATGAACAAAAACACTTTAAGTTTCGACCGAATCCTTCCTTTCTTTCTTTTTTTATACATAGGATATGAACAAAACTTCGTTTCAACGAGTGCGGAGAAAAAAAGAGATATTGGGTGAGCAAACACAGTTTAATTTAATTGAAAAGAAATCAATCACAATTTTTTCCTAAAAATTCAACAAACCAATTGAACATTAATTCGTAGAAAAATTATGGTACGTGGACAGACGTTTAACAAAGAAATACGCTCATGAATAAAAATTAGTGTTGAGAGTAAACTATCCTACAGCCAGCTTATATACATTTTCGATGCAGTTTTTGATTATTTACCTTAACGAAGTCTGAAAATAAGAAAGAATGAAAGGTACCGACTCTTTTGCATGATTTTACATGAGAATGAAAAAGAGAAAACTAGGTCAAAATAAATACGTGTCACTCACTGGAAGCATGTAAATGAAATTATCATAATGAGCTCATACAAACATGCTTACTTCATCAAGAGAGACACTGTAATGACTGCAATTTGAGGGTTCCCACAGTGACCGTGGGAATATTTTCCTTAAAAGTAGATTTCAGGACGGAAGGGGCACCACAGTTAATTACAGCGTCGAGATACTTTCTTACCAGTATAGGTATTCGTAAATTGCCTTTTAAATTGGATCTCAAGAAAACAGAGACACTCAATAGACTGCACCCGAGTGGTGTCTCGTCGGTGCGCATTCAAAAATAAGAAATTAATGTCTATTTTTGAGCGAAGGGGGCTTGCAATGACTGCTACTTAAGGATCCGCAGGCGTTTATCTACAGCGAGTTTTTGTGGGAGGGGAAAAAACAATTAATGGTACTGAATGGTTTCCCACCGGTACGTGTGAGCAATTGAGCATACGTCCATTTAATTTGGATGTTTTAATGAAGATGCAAACAAATGCAAAATCTGAACAAAAATCTGAGTGTATAATAAATGTTACTAAACTGGATTATTGACGCAAGATCAAGAGCACTTACTGCGACTCAATAATTGCTCACCGGTATGTGTGCCCATGCGCTCTTTTAAATGGAATTTGTGCGGGAAATATGCCAAGGAATGACTGTGACTGCATGGTTTCTCACTTGTATGTCTGTCTGCACAATTGTTACTTTACGTGTAATTCTTCAGTACAGGATGCAGAGCAATGACTGCAACTGAATGGTTTCTCAAAGGTATGTGTGCGCGCATGTTCTCTGTAAATGATATCTTTCAGTATAAGATACGGAGCAATGATAAAAACTGATAGGTGTGTCACCAGTATCTGAGCGCTTATGTATCGTTAAATGGGATTTTTGAGTAAGAGATTAGGAGCAATGACTGAAATCAAATGGTTTCTCACCGGTATAGGTGCGAAAATGCTTTTTTAGGGGGACGCATTGGTAAAAGATATACAGGAATTGTTGCAACTCAATTTTTTTTTCACCCGTATGTGTCTGCATATGTCTCCTTACATAAGACTTTCCGACAACTCTTGCAGAGGAATGACTACAACTGAATTGTTTGATAGCGGAATGTGTGCGCGTATGTCTCTTTAAAACAGATTTTGTTCTAAGTGATGCAGGTTTTTGGTTTCGGCAGGACTGAAAGGTTTCTAGCAGGTATGCGTGCGCATATGTCTCTTAAAATTGAATTTTTCAGAAAATGATGCAGAGCAATGATTGCAACTCAATGGTTTGTCACTAGTATGTGTCTGCATATGTCTCTTTAAATGGGATTTTGCAGTGAATGATGCACGCAATGACTGCAACTAATTGGTTTTTCACCGGTATGTATACGCATATGTCTCTTTAAATTGGGTTTTTTAGAAAATGATGCAGAGCAATGACTGCAAGCAAATGGTTTCTCACCGGTATGAGTGTGCAGCATATGACGTTCTGAATTGGATTTTTCAGAAAATGATGCAGAGCAATGTTTGCAAATGAATGGTTTCGCACCGGTATGTGTGCGCATGTGAACCTTTAAATAGGATTTTTCAGTAAAAGATGTAGAGCAATGACAGCAACCGAATGGTTTCTCACAAGTATGTGCGGGCATATCTCACGTTAAATCGGTTTTTTTAATAAAAAAAGCAGAGTATTAACAGCGACTAAATGGTTTCTCACCAGTATGTGTGCGAATATGTCTCATTAGATTTCGTTTATCAGTAAATGACGTAGAGCAATGACTGCAACGGAATGGTTTCTCACCGGTATGTGTGCGCATATGTACCGTTAAATGGTTTTGTTGAGCAAAAGATGCAGAGCAATGACAGCAATTGAATGGTTTCTCGCCGGTATGTGTGCGAATATGACTCTGTAAAGTGGACATCTGAGTAAAAGATGAGGAGCAATGACTGCAATTGAATGGTTTCTCACCTGTATGTGTGCGCATATGTGCTTTTAACTTGGATTTTTCAGCAAAAGATGAAGAGCAATGATCGCAACTGAATGGTTTCTCACCGGTATGTACACGCATATGAATCTTTAAAGAGCACTTTCTAGTAAAAGATGAGGAGCAATGACTGCAACTGAAACGTTTCTCACCGGTATGTATGCGCATATGTACCCTTAAAGGGGATTTTTGAGCAAAACATGCATGGCAATGATTGCAACTGAAGGGTTTCTCACCAGTATGGGTGAGCACATGATTCTTTAAATGGGCTTTTTGAGTAAATGATGCAGAACAATGACAGCAACTGAATGGTTTCTCACCGGTATGTGTGCGGGTATGTACCGTTAAATGGGATTTTGTTGTAAATGCTGCAGAGCAATGATTGCAATTGAATGGTTTCTCGCCGGTGTGTGTGCGAATATGACTCTGTAAAGTGGACATCTGAGTAAAATATGAGGAGCAATGACTGCAACTGAATGGTTTCTCACCAGTGTGTGTGAACATGTCTCTTTAAATTGCGTTTATCAGTAAATGACGTAGAGCAATGACTGCAATTGAATGGTTTCTCACCTGTATGTGTGCGCATATGTGCCTTTAACTTGGATTTTTCGGCAAAAGATGAAGAGCAATGACTGCAAGCGAATGGTTTCTCACCGGTGTGTGTGCGAATATGTCTCTTTAAATTGCGTTTATCAGTAAATGACGTAGAGCAATGACTGCAATTGAATGGTTTCTCACCTGTATGTGTGCGCATATGTGCCTTTAACTTGGATTTTTCAGCAAAAGATGGAGAGCAATGATTGCAACTGAAGGGTTTCTCACCAGTATGGGTGAGCACATGACTCTTTAAATGGGCTTTATGAGTAAATGATGCAGAACAATGACAGCAACTTAATGGTTTCTCACCGGTATGTGTGCGGGTATGTACCGTTAATTGGGATTTTGTTGTAAATGCTGCAGTGCAATGATTGCAATTGAATGGTTTCTCGCCGGTGTGTGTGTGCGAATTTGACTCTGTAAAGTGGACATCTGAGTAAAAGATGAGGAGCAATGACTGCAACTGAATGGTTTCTCACCAGTGTGTGTGAACATATGTGCCTTTAACTTGGATTTTTCGGCAAAAGATGATAAGCAATGACTGCATCTATATGGTTTCTCACCTGTATGTACGTGCATATGACCCGTTAAATAAGCTTTTTTAGCGAAAGATGCAGAGCAATGATTGCATTTAAATGGTTTCTCACCGGTATGTGTGCGCATATGTACCGTTAATTGGGATTTTGTTGTAAATGCTGCAGAGCAATGATTGCAATTGAATGGTTTCTCGCCGGTGTGTGTGCGAATATGATTCTGTAAAGTGGATATCTGAGTAAAAGATGAGGAGCAATGACTGCAACTGAATGGTTTCTCGCCGGTATGTGTGCGCATATGTACCGTTAATTGGGATTTTGTTGTAAATGCTGCAGAGCAATGATTGCAATTGAATGGTTTCTCGCCGGTGTGTGTGCGCATATGTGCTTTTAACTTGGATTTTTCAGTAAAAGATGCAGAGCAATGACTGCAACTGAATGGTTTCTCGCCGGTATGTGTGCGCATATGTACCGTTAATTGGGATTTTGTTGTAAATGCTGCAGAGCAATGATTGCAATTGAATGGTTTCTCGCCGGTGTGTGTGCGAATATGATTCTGTAAAGTGGATATCTGAGTAAAAGATGAGGAGCAATGACTGCAACTGAAAGGTTTCTCACCGGTATGTATGCGCATATGTACCCTTAAAAGGGATTTTTGAGCAAAACATGCATGGCAATGATTGCAACTGAATGGTTTCTCACCGGTATGTACACGCATATGAATCTTTAAAGAGCACTTTCTAGTAAAAGATGAAGAGCAATGATTGCAACTGAATGGTTTCTCACCAGGATGTGTGCGCATATGTCTCTTGAAATGGGATTTTGTAGTAAATGATGCAGAGCAATGATTGCAAATGAACGGTTTCCCACCGGTATGTGTGTATATGTGTTCCTTTAAATGGTTTTCATTAGAGATAGATGCGGACGAATGATTGTAATTTAATTGTTTCCCAGTATCGTGAGTCGTACCTTCTCGATCACTTTTAACATAGATCGCCTGTTCCAAATCTTTATGATTGTCACCTTTCCCATTTTTTCCGGTTGTAATATGAGTAATTTCGTCGATAGTAGCATTCAGAAAAGTTTTTCTAACTTCTCCTGAAGGAGTCATCCCGCCAGATTCAAGAAATGCGGTGTCTTCCGTAATCCTGAAAAATATTTTGTTGAAAAGCGGGTCGTTTTCCATGCTTCTAATTTCAGTCGAGCTGATATGACCGTAAGACGCTGCATTTCGAGTAAAATAATTCAATAGATGTTGCGAATCTTGAGTCTCAGGGATGCTTGGGTATTCTTGCCATTCTAGAGGATCTTCTTCTTTTATCTCGATACTGGTGTGTAACGCGTTGACAAAATCTTTATCATCTGTATCTGCTTCAGTTTTAATTCGATTGTGTAAGTCGACTAGAGTACCGGATGGAATCTCTTGAATTTTCTCAGACGAATGATTTCCGCCGGCAAAAGTCGGTTCGTCTTCATTAACCTCGGATCGGGCTGCAACATTGGAGGACGAACCGTATTTCCCAGAAGAGGAGCTTGAGGCAGATAGAGCGTAATCGCAAATGTCGTTGCGACCCATCTTCGGAATGGCGTCTTGAAGATTTATCGTATATTCCTCCTCCGAATGAATTACTGATGGACTGTCCTCGTTACTCCTCCATGGATTGATGGATTTGAATTCGCTCCGTCCTAGGTCCTGGACAGAGACACATTTAAAAAAGCTGTAAGCAAAATGTTGCCCGAGACGAGGTTCTTAAAACTAATTGAAAACGCGTGAAAAGCTAACTTTTTAGACAGGCGGACAGACTTCAAGAGGAACTAACAAAAACACATCCAGCTGAAATTATGATTTAGAAGATTGAGGTTTAGGCGTTTAGAATGCTTGATAAGGAATACGGTTAAGTTTAGTACAGAGCAGTTGAGGTCTTGAACGTTACCGTTTCTAAGACAGGGAAGCTGCTTTTGGAATACGCATAGCAACGGTAAATCATACTAGCGTGCCTAGCGCGCTATCTCAACGACTAGCCAGGGGGCTTTGCCCCCTGGCCCCCATCACTCACTCCGGGAGCCACATTCCTGTCACTGCCACTTTTAATACATTCGAGAAAGTTCAAAAAACAAATGCTCCTCGTTGTCTTACAACAACTTTCAAAAGTCCAAGCATATCCTAGAAAGCTCAGTTTTTTAATTCGGAAGGACCTAGCTTGTTCAGAGGACAGAATAAACTCAACAAAACAGTAGAGAATCTCAAATGCGACGAAATAACCTGAGTGTCATAACTACACAGCATACGCCGAATTGTGAACTTTGACCCTCAAAATGGGAGGTAAAACTTCGCGATAGAAAGAAACGCCCATTGGCAATTTTGATTAGTAGGTTACGACTTGCAACATATAAAAAAAAAAACCAGCCGATTTAACCGAGCCCTCTTCTTCCATGAGGTTGGACCGTCGTCCTTTGAGAGAGTTGAAATAAATTCGAAAAAGGTATGTCAGTCATGAAATCTTACGAAAGTCCAGGCAAATGTGGTAAAGTTTTGGAGAGGATTAATAAGAGGTATGTTTCAGCCATTTCTTTGGTGTACTTTCAAAATGTTAATTATTATATCGTTCCTGATGCGTATATTATCTAGTCAATAAAAGCCTCTCCATACTTTTGATGATTTGAAGTTTCAAATGTGTCAATCAAGTAGTCAATAGCACTCGATCAGATTAGACCGCCAAAGGGGGAAGAAACGGCCAAAAATGCCGAAACGCATTTTCGCATTGCGCTTGCGCTTCGCTTTACGCCTCCCCC